TTAGATTCCCTGTTGATGGATCACCGCTATTACGAAGCGCCGTGCAACTTTTTGTAGCAAATTCTTCGACCGATGGTCCATCACATTTCTAATACATATGGTTAATTATCCAAAAAAATTAATTTATTGGTTGATTATCAAAAAAAAATTAATTCATAAGTGCAAAAATTGTTTTAAAAAAATTAAATTTAAATATATTAAGATAGCCAGTTAATGATTGAAAAGCTAATTTTTAATTTATTTAATTTATTACAATACAGATAAAAATTAAAAAGTTTGCATTGAATCATTTTCCTTTTTTTTCTAAAAATATTTCTATTCTTAAGAAAATTTAAAGAAACAATAAAAATTAATACAACAAGCTTACATTTTCCTGACAACGAATTCCACGTGTATCGTCACCAATACAATATGAACCACCATTATTTGGGCTGAAATTGAATTAAATTTAGTGAACAACTTCAAATTTGCAAAATTTTTTTTAAATAATTAGAAAGGAGAAAAACTGTTCTTTCCCACTGTTTTTTTGATAGATGAAAAGACGGTGATAGAAATTTTTCGAATTCAACATAAAAATAGCAACAATCAATCTAAAAAGATTGAACAAAAATTAGCATAGCATTAAATTTAAATAATCTTAAAATAATTCAGAGCATTTCATTCAAATTTGACACAAAGAATGACATCATTTCAATAGCACTCACTATGGATTATCACAAGTTCTTATTGAACGCCGAACTCTAAGCTGTCCGTTTATCTGACACGGAACACATTCCGTTACGCAGCTACCACGTCCGCTTACCATCCAATCACTCCAACCACCATGACGTGGAATAGCAATTTCCGGTATTGCCGGTTTACATTGACCTTCAATACACCACTGAAATTCATCTTGATACTTTAATAATAATTTGAAATGAATAAATCATCTAAAATAGAAATATTCGGATTACTTTGAAAATTTTGATAAAACAAAACTGGTACTAACAGCTTTTCGCTCATCAAGTAAGTGTTGCCAATAAAATTGAACAACTGCTATTGAAAGTAAAAATTTTGAAAATTAAATTTAAACAATTGAAATGATTACCATACGATATCCACAGTAGGAATATTCGAGTGCTGGATGAGTACTGCGTATGACACCTTCACCATTACTACACCAAATCATTTTACAAACATCCTGTCAGTTTGATGTGGTGTACTTTATTTAGTTTGCTTAATAATAATTTCAAATTTAAATGTTGTTTAATAATAATTTCAAATTTAAATGTTTTTTTTTGATATATTCATGAATGAATATCAGAAATGAATCCTTAAAATGACTCTTTTTTTATAGAAATGAATCTTTGAATGATTTTTTTTTTCATTTCCTCACTTGGGTTCTTTTCTTTCCATCATATTTTATGAATCGATTAAAATTTTAGAAAGATTAAAATTGTAAGGATGTACATTGATATGTTCTCCATGCCTAATTTCATGTTTCCAACATGTTCCGTGAAATAAAACGCATTGCTCATCCAACGTATACATTTGACCGGATAGAATTTTAGGCATTCGTTTATATCTGATGTTGCTCGTTCGCAAACAATTTTCGCCTATGCCATTTTTATCCAATTCCTGTAGAATGGAATAAAATATAGTTTTCAAAAATTGCTGAAATTATTTTCAGATGAAATTATTTAATTAATTTGAACAAACTAAAGCTTTTGGAAAAACTTAAAAATTTACATTTCAAAAAAAAAAATAAAAATAAACATTTTTTATGAATGAAAGGATAAAAAAATAAATCGAAATGAAAGAAATATACAAGCAGGAATGAAATGTGAATTAATTTGGGTCAAGCGATGTTTTCATTCTCTTAAAAATCAATCACTCATTTTCAACTAAAATACTCGAGTGTGAATTTAATTTTGAATTTTATTCTAAATTTGTACACATAATTAAAATTTATTACATGGAATTCTTACAGTGATGAAATGGTTTAACTCTCGGGCACTACAAGATGACCATAGTGTACGTCCAGTGCCAATCGAACTGGACATAATGCAACACGATTCATCACAGCCATTTTCACTGTCATGTTTCATACCAAAGCTTAAAAACTGAATATTATTTATAAAAAATAACGAAAATTCAAATCGAAATTTAAAAATTGATTAACTCAACTCGTTTTTAATTTTGAATTAATTTCATTTGCAAATTTTTAAGCTATAATGTTATGCATTATTTCCAGTTGAACCATTTGGTTTTTCTGCGCCTGTAATAATGAGAAAATAATTTGATAGGAAAACTGGTACTTAAAGACTGAAATATTTACACTTGCAATCCATATAATTGGATTAACATTGCAGTTGTTATTGTTGTTTCAATTTTCAATTTTTTGATAATGTCACAATTGTTTGTATTTCATTTAATTTGCTTTCGCTAATTTTTAGCTGATAAAAAATTGAATTAAAGATTTATGCTATGATAGAGCACAAATCATTAATTTAATTTTTCCACAAAAATTTTGCAAAATTTCTATGCAGTAATTTAAATACAGCACTTATTTAGCAAATGGAAAAAACGTTTAATGGTGATAATGATAATAGTGATAGTAAAACTTTCTGAGAAAGTTATTGCACTAAATAATTAAGTGAATAATATCTTGGCAGAGTTTATTAAGAAGTTTATCAGACGAACTTATGGCCTATTTCATGTGCAGTAATAAAAACAGCGCTAAAATCAAGGCCTTCACTTATCGTACAACTCTTTTTCTCGGTACACATTCCATTTACAGGTGCATAACCAGCCAAAGTTCGAATTTTGTTATGATATAAATCATATCTATAAGTGATAAATAACAAACTTCTGCATTTCCATCATATCACATATACATACGTTTCCAGTTTGGATAAATTTTCTATTTTACATTTACATATTGTTCTCTGTTTTTTCTTGAAATAAAGAGCATCAAACATGTTTAAGTAACAAATAACAGAAATTACTCAAATATTAAATGATATAAATTAATTTACAATGCTATTTAGTGTTTTTACTGATGAATAATGATAACATACCCGGTGAAGAGTAATGCATGATCCCACCGTTTAGCATTTCTTCCATTTCGATTAATTTTAGATTGATAAGCACAAAATAAATCGAGCAAAAGTGTAGCATTACCATTTCCATGAAAATTGCGTGACAGTTCAACCTTTTTAAAAATTTAAAA